TGTGTTTCCTTGCAATGTCATGATACAAAACCCTTTCCTCTTGTCCCTATTGTCAAAAGAAACAGAGGAACTGGACACACACACTCACACACACACTGTCCTTTCACTATGGCCCATTAACAGAGGTGCCAAGCAACACCAATATTCACATAAAGAACATGTAAGGGTTTAGTTATCAGCAACAAAGCCTGGGCATCCATATGGATCGTTGGGTGTCGTTCTGTAAGGACAGGCTCACATCAGGGACACTTTCTGACTTTTCTTTGACAGTAACTGTCTCTGTCACTCAGTAACCTCAACCAGCTACTCTGTCTCAGGGTGGCTTTCCTAGCATCCATCAAACTTTTAGGAATTCCACTAAAGATCTGAAGAGGTAAACTTTCCTTCTGGTGTTCTTAAATGGTTGGCTACAGGTGTAGCTGTGACTTTTTATCTCAAAAGTTATGCCTCACAAATGTTCAGACTGTGATTTGGTTCCCTCCCAAAGTACTTGAAACTATAACATAATTCTATTTTAATAGGTTTTCCTGTCACTTCAACGTTAATTTAGAAAGTAAAACTAAAAATGCAATGGAACTGCTTTAGTGAGCAATGAACTGACTGCCAACCACTTTATTCTAAACAAATTCACTGGTTATATGATTTCCTTTCATTCAGCATGACATATTCGCTTTAGAGACAGTCAAGTCCTACTGATTCTGTTGCCTTCCCTAGTCTGTGATTGGGAGTGACAAGCACTGCTTCAGCACTCCGCCAAGGCCACTTTACAAAAGACCCTCATTGGAACTTAGGCTTTCAACTGTGCCACAGTAACCAGAGGACTCGCTCACACCAGGATGGCAGACCTTCGGGATGCTTCAGTGGGTCGAGGGCCCTGCTGCCAAACCTGGGCGCCCGCATTTAATTTAAGAATCCACACAGTCTAAGGATAGAGCTGTCCTGCGTCCTCCACAGCCATCCTGTGGCATGTGTGCACACTCACTCACTCACTCACTCACTCACTCACTCACTCACTAAATAATCAAAAAAATTCAGATTACAGGAGCCCTGTTGCCTCAATTTCCAGTTTGGTAACTGTGAGTTGGAACCCCAAACAATAGATTACTAACAAACTCCCCAGCACCCTCACTGGTTCTGGGGAACACTCTTCAGAACTGCCGCTCTAGATTGGAACCTCGTGAAGCTTCTCTAGTGTGTCACACCACAGAACCTTTGAGAGGTGTGCGTAAACTCTCATTCACATGATGGATTGTGTTATGGTGTCTACAGAATGCAATGCATTTCAGACTTGATGTATATGACTAACTCCACAGTAATAATACAAGAAGACTCAGAAAAGTCCAAACAGTTAAAATGCAGCTTTGAATTTATGCAAATGAAATTATGGCAATAGTTGAAACAGATGGATGGAAACTCCTTGCCCTGACTGTATAAAAACACAATACTGCTAAGGACCCATGGGACCTGTGCTACCAAGGAGCATTATTTGAGCTATCAGAGTATAGAGTCTCTAGAAATTCTGGGTTATGTTAGAAATCAGAGAGATACATAGGAGAATTAGGAAAGAAAGGAAGGTGGGGAGGGAGAAAGGAAATAGAGGAAGGAGGAAAGAAGGGAGGGAGAGAAGGGAAGAGAGAAAGAAGGGATGGAGGGAGAGGAGGAAGGACGGACTAAAACAATTATGCTCTGTGCTTCGATGTTTTTTCATCTCAGTGAGAGAGCAAAGGCCAAGAGTGATGAAACAAGGACCTAAGACCAGGGGATGAGAAGTCTGAAAGCAAAGACCACGCCAGCTACAGAGAGCAGTTTGTTCGGCCAACCGTAGTTGATGTGGTTTCAGGGTACGAAGGAAAACTTGACTCGTATGACAGGAAGATAGAAAATAGAATTAAAGAGATGTGGGAAAGGAGCCAGGCGTGATGAGGTCAGCTTCTTGTGAGATCAGCACTCCAAAGACTGAGGCAGGAGGATTGTGAATCGAAGGTTAGCCCTGGGCTACCTGGCGACACCCCGTAGGGCGGGTGATGTGCAGGTCTACCAGGTCACCTGGTGCTGATAGCGGGGGAAAAGCTCTGAGAACTGGAGGAGCCTCTGCATGAGATGTCCCAAGTGTCACAAGGCAATCAGGGAATGTGAGCACAAGTCACACATTGCTTTGTGGCATTGGGAGAGAGAGAGACAAAGGCAATGTGGATTTCCTCAGAGTTTTACTTTGTTTCACCCAGTCTTTACTAACCAAGCTTGCTACTGTCTCAATTTCAACATCGCAAATATTAAACTACAGTACTTTCATAACTTGTTAAAATAAATCTTGTACCCTTACCTCCTCCATCTATTTGCCGTTATGACACACGCTTTGTTGAAAAGTTTGTACACGGACCTGTGCAGACATGAACAATTGATTAATGCCTTGCTTTCTAAGGAGGCCCTGTGGAGAGGCCCACATGCAATAATGTCTTCACATGGCAGAGGGCACTGTGGTCCTGCATCTACACTGGAAAAAGTTGATGACCTTCCTACACTTTCTCCTTAAAATGTCTCTTCTAATCTCACTAACACGCAACAGCCTCTGAGCTCCTATTGCCCAGCACCAGGATCTTTGCCAATGATTTGTTCCTACCCTATCCACTTATGGCATTTTTAGACCCCCTGATGTTAGACAATATATTTCATTTCATAAAATTGCTTTGTAGATATAAGTCCCAATTTTTGAAAAGAGATTTGTTCATCTGTATTTCCAGGTATTTCTATGCCTTCCTACCAGGGAAGCCAGAGAGCACGACATCACCTTGAGCTGAAGTCACAGGTGGTTGTGAAGGACTCGATGGAACCAAGACCTTGGCAAGGTCCCTGGCAAGGCCAGTGAGCACCAAGCCACCTCTCCAGTCTCAGAAGTCCTGATTATTATGATTTTTTAAAGCCAATTTTCTGATTGAAGGTGGACTCTGTGTGTGTGTGTGTATCTGTATGTGTTTACTAAAGTTAATATCCTGCGCTAGTATACAGAAGATCTCCATACAGAAATAATTGATTATTGTACAACTTCACATCTTTTTTGATACCAGGATGATTTGAGAGATAGTTATCAAATCACAAGATGCTATTGGCAAATGGTAATATTCTTTGATTTATGTGTTATTCTAATTAACTTTACAGAAATATCAAAGATGGAACAAGATCTTAAAATCAGTCTTTCTCAGAAGTGATAGAGGTTTTGTTGAAATCCAGTGCTCAGATATTCACGATTTTTTATTGATCAATTCTCACTAGTGTCTGTTTTTGGGGGTGGAATAGGATCCTACAAGGCTAGCTGCAGCTGACATAGCTTGAGATCTCTTTACTTCCTTGAGGTTGCAGGACGATTGTGGATACTCTTTCTGGTCATAATGCTCTTGATACTGGATAGCAAAGAGGAAAAGAACTAACACAAGGATCAAAGGGGCAATTCCTGGATCCATGAGGCAAAATATTGAAGCCCAGGTAGCTAGCCACTGAAAATGCTGGCAGAGGTAATGTCTTCCCTTAACCAAGAAGGTTCGAAGTGCAGAATTTATCAGGGATCACAAGAGACCTCAGGGCCAAGCGAAGAATGGCACCTGTCCACTCAGCCTGAATCCCTCCCCCTAGCCTGGATCCCTGCCCCCCAAACCTGGATCCTTACCCCTAGTCTCAATCCCTGCCCTGCTGGCTACCACAAACTCTTCTCCTGAGCATGAGGCAAGCAGGGTGCAGACAAAGTAAATAACTCCAGCTAGTGGCTGATCCTGGACCTGGATACATGTCCTTCCTGCTTTTAATTGAACTATACTGAATCCCACATGTTGCTAGGGCAGGGAAAAAGAGCAGTCTTTAGGAATTCCAAGCATTTTGCTTAAGCAAAGACATAAAGAATCAGGGCTTATTAAAAAGCTTTGTATACTGGTTCATAATATCTGGAAACTCAAGAGACAAAAATAAATATTCCCAGCATGCAAAGGTGACCCTACCACTGCCAGGACTTTAAAAGTTGAAACACCTGTTTTAAACTATGATAAACAAACCTTCATTTCTACTTCATGTCTAAAGCTTGTGACCTTTCTTGCTTTGCTGACTGAGGGGGCAGTCACCAGCATTCTGAGGAGTGGGACTCAGGGGACATATGATGGTTGGAGCATTTGCAGCTTTCACGCAGCGAAGAGTCAAGGGCACTCTGAGAGACCCGCAGCAGGTTCTCCTTCCAGTTCTCCGATGTGAACCATTATCTCTCTAGGATACCTTTAAACAGAGGGCGTTAACTTCCTCTCGCAGCTCTCAAGCCTCTGCTAAATCCTTGTCCATTTGTCCTACCAAGCACAGGACACTTCTCCAGTTACATGGTGATCCCTGAAGCGAAAGCTGCCAATCACTGCTTGTTAACACGGTACCGCCATGGGCTGAAGCTGAAAGCAAATCTTTTCTGGAAAGCTTACTGTTTTATTATCGTGTGTGTGTGCGCACATGTGACTGCAACATGTACGCACACGCGTGTTTTCACCCACCACTCTCCACTGCGTTGTTGTTTTGTTTTGTGACAGTGTTTCTCACTGAACCAGTACTCACCAGTTCCAGCAGTCTGCCTGACCAGTGGGCCCCAGTGTCCTTCTGTCTCCGCCTTCCCCATGCTGGAATTAGAGTCGCACACTACCATGCCTAACTGTTAAAAGCTGAACCATCCATCACCACACCAGCCAAAATCATACAGTATTGGGAACCTACCTCAATCTTATTGCAGAATGAGATACAGACCAGCTTCATCTATTTGGAGACTAGCACATTGTTTCTTATGAATCAAGTTGTCTTTACTTTGTCAGTAATGATTTCATAGCTCTCCAAATGCAGGGACTTACATAAATATAGCAGCCTGGTGTAAAACAGAAAACATGATGTTGACTCCGCACTGCACATCCCTGCCTGGAACATAAACTGAAAGCCAAGTGTTCTGGTTGTAAACACGGTGGTGAGTGACTCATTTCTGCTTGCAGTGGGAAAAGCTCCAGATGTCCACAAGTGAGAGAAGGAAAATCTTCTGCTCCGTCACCTTCCACGTCATCGCCGTCACCTGCGTGGTGTGGTCTCTGTATGTGCTGATCGATCGGACGGCAGAGGAGATCAAGCAAGGTAACGACAATGGTAAGGACATGCCACCCTCCTTCCTCCTCCTCTGGATTCCCATGCTGGCACCCAAGGGCAGACAGGGAGCTGCTGCTGTAGCCATGGTAAGGACATGCCTCTCTCCCTCCTCTACCCCTGGCTTTCTGCAATGGCACCCAAGGGCAGACAGGGAGCTGCTGCTGAAGTTTAGGTTTCCGTTAGGTGGCCTGAACAAGGGCCAGAGTTTGCAGCCGAGCCTTCTCCAATTATCTCCTTGGTCAACTCTGTCTAAAAAGCATGGACCACTTAGGATTCCAAGTAAGGACTTGGGAAGTGTTAGGTCCCGGAGAAACTTTGAGTCAGAGATTCATGGCTATCATTCACTTCTTGGGAATTTCCAGAGGCTCAGGGAGCATCAAGCTCTGTCCAGTACGAGAACACAAACCATTAGAGAAGTGGAGAGTTTCCGAGCGGTGGAGGCACATGGCTTTAATCCCAGCGCTAAGGAGGCAGAACAAAGGAATCTCTGCATCTGAGGCCAGCCTAGTCTACAGAGTGAGTTTCAGGAGAGCCAAGACTACACAGAGAAACAAAGGAAAGAAAGAAGGGGGGGGGGATAGAGGGTTTTAAAGTTTTGTTTAATTCACCCTACCTGCTGCTTCTTTGAAGACTCACGGTAACACCACTGTAGGACAGATACGTACTGGGTAACTGATGCATGGGATTAGCACTGTAGCTGAAAAATTTAGCCACACCCAGTTTGTGAAGGATTGTGTCCAGGTATATCCTTAAGGTTAAAACCTTCCCAGGCTTGTCCACTTAGGGGCAGCGGTGCACACCAACCTGCCTGGACTCGAAACTCCCAGAAGTGGCGGGGATTTGGAAGGGTCCTGGCCTCCAGGGCTCCTGGTGTGCACAGTAGTATAAGGGAAGATGCAACGGAGACAGCCTTGAAGATCCCAGTGTCCTTTACTAAGAACAAAACCACAAGAAAAGTCTAAATACAAGAGAAGCGGGTAGGATGGGATTTTTTTTTTTTAGAATTCATTTATGTAACATCAACTCATTTATAACTGCATCAGTTACAGCGAACATCTGGGTTTTGCCACACTATCGCTCTCCCCAAAGTTTTCGCATGTAAGGTTCCATATTAAATCTGGATTTAATAAGTTCTCATTCTCATCTCTGCAGGTGGGATCTTAAAACAATGATTGCACATAATAAGTACCAGACACCTGGCCATGCCTAAATAGACGCAGACTGTTTCCATTTCACAACACCCGACTCTCCCCCTTAGGAGTAAAGGGTGTTCCTAGCTACTCAGGGCAGTTCTGATGACTCCTGGTTGGAGACGTCCTTCTCTCAGATGGCCAAGTAGAGCCCCCATGGGAGAACCACGCATTTGCATGACTAGACATTCTCCTGACTTGGCCACATGGTGATGTACATGAAACAGGACTTCATTTCCCATATGTCATATGCAGACAAGATTTTCATGGGAAACCCTCTTATTTAGTCAGCTGCGCTTGTCTGATGCCTGAGACACATGAGTTGTGAGTGCTTCGGTACCAGGAGGTGGATAGTGTCACATGGAGAAGAAACCACACCCTTCCTTTCTTCTGTCCCCCTGCTAATGCTCCCGTGGCCATCCTTCTGTTCTTTTACCTTTAGCGCTGCTCAAATGCTCATAACCACCCCCTCTAGTTTTATACTCCGCTCATAATATACTCCAAAGCTTCATCTTCCTCCCTCCTGAGAACATCTCTGGAAGTTTTCCAGGGACTCAAGGTCTGTATCCACACAATCTCCCACATCCAGCCTCAGCACCAGAAGAAAGACATCCCTCATAACCAGATCCCTCTCCTTTCTCTGGCCAGTCTCTCTTCTCCCTGAAACCAGTCACCGAATCCTCTGCATTCTGCCTCTGTGCCCGGACGCTTTCCATTTCTCTCCTTCCCCACCGACAATATTCATGTGAAAACTGTGTCTTTATACAAAGACAGAAAGAGCCTCTTACCTAGACCATCTCCATTCTCTTCACCTTCAACTCGTGTTCATTCACTACTACAAAATTATGAATCCAAACATTATGTCCACTCAGTATTGTTAGTATGTAACCCCAGTTCCTTCTGGTGACTCTGCTGCCCCTAGGACCTATGTGTCAGCAATAGGGTCAAACATCTTTCTTTCCCTGAGAATCTATTCTAAATTCCTACTCAGCTCTTTCCCTCTGTGCAAAATAATTCTTTACACACACACACACACACACACACACATACACACACACGGGGAGAGTCAGAGCAAAAGCGAGAGACTGCTCCCACACAGATCCCTAACCTAACTCCTAGGAAACTCAGCTCAAGAGCCCAGGACCAGCAACACTTTGTTTCCTAGAAATGTACATGCCAGCCTTCTATTCCCCTAGACCTCTGTATGCGGAACTCTTGTAGCTCTGAAAGGCACCATCCTGCTGCACATTACCAGAGCCCCTGACACTTACCTTTGGGTGAGCCTCCGCTTTCCTTGAATTTTGTCTATGGAGTTTCTCTACCATCACAAAGCCTGCTGCTTCTCCCTGGACACCCAGACTTACTCCTTATGTGACGATGTCATGCAGCCTTGCTTGAGACTCTCAGCCCCACCAAAAGTCTCCCAACTAACTCAACGGATTGTTTGTTTGTCTCCCTGGACTTGCTCAAAGCAGGCTTGGAGCAGTGTAGGGAGTTGTTATCACTGCTCACCAAATCACTGTCTAAGACAGTGTGCAGAAGTATATACTCAAGCTTTCCCACTCTTTAGTTTGTAGAATTTTCTTTGAAATGCTAGTTTCTCATTTCTAGGTGGGTCACTGTCTTAAGTGGGGTTTCTATTGCTGTGATAGAACAGTATGACCAAAAGCGAGTTGTGGAGAAAAGGGTTTATTTCCACTTATACTTCCAGGTAACAGTCCTCACTGAGGGAAGGAAGGACAGGAGCTCAAACAGGGAGGGAACTTAGAGGTAGGAGCTGATGCAAAGTATTACTGGCCTGCTCTTCATGGTTTGATAAGCCTGCTTTCTTGCAGAAACCAGGACAGTCTGGCACCACTCACAATGGGCTCAGTCCCCTCCCACTGGTTACCAATTAAGAAATAAGTGTGGTGGTTTCTCAGAAAATTGGAAATCAAGATCCAGCAATACTACTCTGAGGCATATACCCAAAGGATGCACGCTCATACCACAAGGACATTTGCTCAACTATGTTCATAACAGCATTATTTGTAATAGTCACAACCTGAAAACAAACCAAATGCCCCTCAATCGATAAAGAAAATGTGATACATTTACACAATGGAGTACTACTCAGTTTAAAAAGCAAGGATATCTTGAAATTTGAAGGCAAATGGATGGAACTAAAATAAAAAAAAAAACATCCTGAGTGAGGTAACCCAGACCCAGAAAGACAAACATAATATGTACTCACTCAGAGATAGATATTTGACGTAAAACAAAGGATAACCAGCCTACAGTCCACAACCCCAGAGAAGCCAGAAAACATACATGGATCCCCATGGGAAGGGGAAATAGATAAGATCTCCTGAGTTAATTGTGAACATGTGGGGGTGGGGGGAAAGGGAGTAGGAAGGGGAGAAAGAGAGTGGGGAGGAGAAGGTTGAGTTAGGGGAAGGTAGGAGATGGAGAGCAAGAAAAGATAGATTTTAATAGATGGAGCCATTAGGGGTTAGAGAGAAACCTGACACTAGGGAAATTCCCAGGAACCCACAAGGATGAGCCCTGCTAAGAATCTAAGCAATAGTGGTGGGTACCCTCAATTGTCATCATAGAACCTTCATCCAGTAGCTGATGGAAGCAGATGCGGAGATCCACAGCTAAGCACTGGGCAGAACTCTGGAGTCCAGCTGTAGAGAGGGAGGAGTGAGAATATGAGCAAAGGGATCGAGACCATGATGCGGATACCCACAGCAACATCTGGCCTGAGATAGTGGGACCTCACTGACTCCAGACTGACAGCTGGGGAACCTGCATAGGACTGAACTAGGCCCTCTGAATGTGATTGATAGCTGTGTGGTTTGGGTAGTTTGTGGGGCCACTGGCAGTAGAATCAGTTTTTATCCCTAGTGCGTGAACTGGCTCTTTGAAGTCCATTCCCCATGGAACGATACCTTATTCTACCTAGATACGGGGGTGGGGAAGGGGAGTGGTCCTGCCTCAAGTGATATGACAGACTTTGTTGACTCCCCATGGAAGGCTTCACCCTCTCTGAGGAGTGGATGGGGGGGGGATGAGGGAGTGGGATGTGAGGAGGGAGAGGGTACTGGTATTGATCTGTAAAATGAGAAAAGATTGTTTTAAAAAATAAATTTAAATTTAAAAAAAAAGGAAAAAGAAAGCTGGATCTTATGGAGGCATTTTCTCAATTGAGGCTCCTTCCTCTCAGATGACTCTAGCTTGTGTTAAAATGACATAAAACTGGCCAATACAACTGACCCTTTGCCAACTTGACACTTAAACATCATTTTTCAGTTAGAAATTTCCTTTCCTCGTGTATCCACAAGATGGCGCCTTAATATTAATAACATGTCATAAAACATACATAACATTAAAAGGCACAGTTCTTATAAATTCAAACACATCAAAAGTTCAGTTTCTTAAAAATATCCAATCTCTGTAAAAATCCAAACTCTCTTTAAAAAGTTCGAAGTCTTTCAGCTGTGGGCTCCTGTAAAAATCAAACTAACTCAAATGCTTTCTCCGAGAAGGAAGGACCAAGGCGCAGTCATGATCTCCAAAAGCCAACTCCACCAATGTAAATAAGTCAATGCCCGATGATCTGGGAGTCGCTCACAGTCTTCGGGGGACCTCTAAGGGCCATGAGTCACTTCTCCAGCACTGCCGTCTGCAGCACAACACAGCGACAATACTTTAGAAGGCAAAAACCCCTACAGAAGTCTGATTTCCCAATCGAGACCTTGGTGCTGGTGATGTAGCTCAGTTAGGAGAGTGAGTGCCTGCCTGGTAGCGACAGTGATGTTGGTCACCATTACCACGTAAACAGGGTGCGATGGCTGCATCCGTCATCTTGGCGAACAGGAAAGTGGCAGAGAGATCATAAGTTCAGTCATTTTTGGCTACAGAGCGAATTCAAGGCTAGGGTAGGCTATATGAGACTCTTTTTAAAAAAATTTTAAATTATAAGTATTTATTATTCATTTATGTATACACGCCTGGGTATGTGTGTGGGGTCATAGAACTGTTTGTCAGAGTTGATTCTCTCCTTCCGTCCTCTGAGTCTCAAGGATTGAACTCAGGTCATCAGGTTTTCCAGCTAGTACTTTTTTTTTTCTTTAAAGTTTAGTTGATAATCCAGATTTGACCTTCATGCGGAGATTAGATAGTGTTTGTATTATTTCTGCTTCCTATCAGAAACCACAATGAGATCATCTCTCTCTTTGGTATTATTTTATATTTGGTATCTTTGGTCGCTTCGGAAGCAGGTCTTTGTGGAGCAGAAGAGTCTGTGGCTCCCCACACAGCTGTGTACTTGTGGGACAGCCTTTCCCCCACATACGGCAGGGCAGCATGCACATCTGGCAGAGTCGTCTGAAGCCCCCCTACACACACACACTGTGGGGTGACACCATCAGGCTGAGCTCTTAGCATCTTCATCTTCCTCAGGCATTGTGATCACTGATCCTGAATTTACCTTTGAAGTTACTGGAGAAGGACGGTATAATTTAAAAAGCTAGGATATTTTAAATCCATCCAGAAAACCTCAAGAAATGTCTAAAGAGGAACAAATTGTCCTTTCCAACCAGAACAGATGCTGAGTCTAAAGCAGTGAATTTGCCTGTAGTGACAACAGGAGATAAACAGGCCCTTTGTGTAGTTGAAGATGCTGCTCTCTTAGAGTAGGTGTGTCTGGTGCCCCCCGCATGGCGCACCACCTCCCTGTCTCACATTAACAATCTAAATTATTGCTGCAGCTACCTCTTCCACTTGAGCAGCAATTGGTCCTCCTGCTTCTTCCTTTCATGTTCTACACAAATATTTCAGTATATTATTTTATTTTTTTAAAAAAAGACCTTTTTTTAAAAAAAACAAAAATAGTTTGTGCTATGAATTGAATGTTTCTTCTACAGGGATTTGTATTGTCTTTTAGAATACTGCTATGTTTTCAGGGCTGATCTTTTGGCACTGGGCAACCAAATACTGGCAGTCGCTCCTCTAGGTCAGGACCACGTCTTATTATTCAGAGAGCACTTGGCATTGGTGGAAGTTCAAAACAGTTCACTGCCCATAGCTGTAGCAGTAGCCATAGCCAAAGTGATAATGGTAGCCATAGCTGTAGCCATAACCAAAGTCATAACAGTAGCCATAGCTGTAGCCACAGCCATGGCCATAACTGTAGCTGACTTCTAGAGGTCAGCAAAGCCCTAATATGCCAGACACTGGCTAGCAGTTCCTGGCAGGCCAGGGTGCTAGCTCTGTCTCTTCTCTGGCAGTTGTGCTGAAGGAAATCATCTCTTCAAAGCACAGCTTCCTCATTTGGGAAACCAAGAAAGCTAGACTCTGTGCCTTCTAGAGGCTTTTTGATCTGACTCGCTTTCAGACACCATGAAGCAGGTTTTTGCATCGGGTTAATTGAGATGTGTTTATATAAGCATCGTGCTACACCATTCATAGTTTATTTACACTGAATTTTAAATTTTAATATTATTTAAGAACTTAGTTGGAATATTAAAAGAAATTAAGAAAAAAATATACACTGTCTTGTTTAATTTAAGAAGCTGCAAAGGGGAAAGCAGAGAGTATCAAGCCACGCACACTTCCCATGCATGTGATCAAAGCGCCAGCAGCCACATTCCAACTTAGCAGTGTGATATTTTGTCAAGACAAGCAGTGTCCCTGCAGCTTCTGGGCCCTCTCCTTCACTGCTGAGAGATTTAAAGGCTTTAAACATCCTAGGTGTTTCCATTCACGTGACACGATATCCAGAGCCCTAAGAAATACCATATTTAAAAGAAAGATATAGAGATAGACTACTGGTTTACAGACGAGAAAAAAAATGTTAACTTGCTTGATCTGCAGCCACATTACAAGCCCATCTGGGGCCTTCTGATTTCTCTGATTTGACTTAAAGAGAGAACAGATGTATTTAAGATATCCTAGTCTGTGTGCCAGAGAGGACAGAGAGCTGGCTCTGCCATCAAGGGAAATGCATTTTCTGAGAGACAGAATTCCTAGGGAAGAAGCGTGTCTGAAAGGCCCAGGGACTGTGGCCCAATTTATAAGCCACTGCCATTTGTTCGGAAGCTTGAAATAAGAACTCCCTAAAAAATTTAGTGCACACGGCTGCTCCTTCCTTCTGTGTAAAGACCTTTTCATTGATTTTTGGCGGTCTTTTTGAGGTGTCCCTCTGGTGAAAAGAATTAAAATAGCTAGGGATGCTGGGTACATATGGTGAGGCTGTATACAGTGGCCTCTGTGCCAATGCCATGGTTGGCAGTTAACTAGATTTCAGAACCCTGGATTCTGGAAGCATCTGGAAGTTGGAGCCTACAAGAAGTGAGAAATATCTGAGTGTGGGCACCACAGAAATCGCTGCTCTTACTGTTCAGCTTAGCCAGCCAGAGGCATGGAACCCTCAAGTCACTTGGACCACCATAGTGGCTATTCACACGCCACACTGTTTCTTCACTGAGCTAACACCAAGAACCCCATGGGGAGGCGTGACTTTCACCTCCATTTTTAAGCAATGGTCTCTATGACGTAAAAATCCACCCACACATGGTGACTTAGAACAGCGACCATTTATTTCACCTCATTCTGTGTTTTGATTAGGCATGTGTTCTGCCTGAGCCAGGTGGGCTGGTCTCTACCGTCAACCGCTGCACCTGGAGAGAGCCGGGCCCCCAACCAGCAGCTGCATAGTCAAGCATAGGTTCCTTTACCTGTCTGGCAAAGGAAGGAGATTAACTAGAACGGCAGGTGCAGTTAAACTGTGTAGGAGTTTGGATATTTTTCTAAATATTTGTGGTGTGTGTGTGTGTGTGTGTGTGTGCGCGCGCGCGCGCACGCGCGCACGCAAATGCGCGTGCCAGTACACTGGAGGGCAGAAAATGGAAAGTAGATGTAAGCACTCTACCAACATAAACTGAGATCATGTCCATTTAAATATTAACAGCTGAGCTACCTATCTCTCCAGCTTGGCTTTTGTTATTGTTCTAATCATCTAGCATGATCTAGCATGATCACCTGCCTTCCTAACTTGACAGTTGCATGGAATTCAAAAAGGAGCAAGATGGCTCAGCAAGTTAAGGCACTTGTGGTGAAGCCTGAGGGACCTAAGTTTGACCCGTGGGACCATAATGCCCACAGGACTTCTCCAAAGTCGTGACTCAGGAAGTCCGGATGGTGTCCAGCACCCCTCCCAATTTAGTATTCTCAGTCTTTCCATTTGCTCCAAAGCGAATTAATCGACATCAGTAGCATTTCTAGTGGAATTCTACATAGACAACGTGAAGTATTTTGAAAACGGCATTTGCCTTTTCAGACAGCAAAAACATTGCTTTTCTTTAGATGCCAAAACAAAAGGTTGACCTAGAATGCTATGGCGATAGAGATCATGCAGTTTCACAGAGAGTAGCAGGAAGTAATGCCACTAATTGAAGCATGAATTCTGTGTTTGTCAACCTCATGGCACAAACTGCATCCTTTTCTCACTGGAGTGGGCACTAATGAATCCGTAGTTTATAAAGAGAATGGGGACAGCCCATGCTGCAAACTGAACCTGTATTAGGACAGGGAACAGCTGGTTTCCAACATTACACAGATAGTAGAGGAGAGAAGAAGCTAAAGGGAGCTTCCTGGCTATGCACAAACTTTCTTGTGAGTTCTACTGGACCTTCCTAATCCACTGTAAAGATAAGCTTCCTATTTGATTACTAAAAGAAGCATAGAAATACATGTAGGTGAGCAAAGTCGGAAAGGGATTAAGGTGGCATCAACAGCAGTGGGGAGATGTTTCCTGCCAATAACTAAATCCGTTTAAGGTTAGAGAGTTGCCCCCCCCCCCAACACACACACAATTTTCCAAAGGAAAAGTTTCATTTTCAAACCAAAAGAGTTTACACACTTAAAGAAAATTTTTTCTTATAAAGATCCAGGGAAGTCATGTTAGGAAAACATTAGCTTTATAAATGACCAACAGGATAGAAAACACGAAAGCTTTTGCCAGGGTCCCAAAGTTTGCATTGTTCACAAGAGAAAGAAATTGTTATACCCAGAGCTCATTGACATCCTTGCAGCCTCGCTCTGTGATTGAATCAGTAGTATTGCTTCCTGCGAAGTCTGGACATACTGAAGATGCCCACTGTTTCAGAGTCTGGGGAGCCGCAAATTGACCCTATTCCCTTTGGCTGACCTTGCGCCACAACATACATGATTCAGAAAAGTATGTGTCATAGGGATCATAGTGGGGGACACCAAATGGAGACACGCCAGCTTAATAACATCTCCCGCTCTTTCTGTCTCACAGGTGTGCTGGAATGGCCGTTTTGGACAAAACTGGTTGTGGTGGCCATTGGCTTCACGGGAGGTCTCGTCTTCATGTATGTACAGTGTAAAGTCTACGTTCAGCTGTGGCGTAGGCTGAAGGCCTACAATCGTGTGATCTTTGTGCAGAATTGCCCAGACACTGCCAACAAACTGGAGAAGAACTTCTCATGTAATGTGAACACGGAAATCAAAGATGCCGTTGTTGTGCCTGTGCCACAGACAGGTTCAAATTCACTGCCACCTGCAGAGGGCGCCCCGCCTGAAGTCATACCGGTTTGACGGAACTGGAGGGGAACTCCGCCACGGAAGGATCTTTGCAACCCTTGCCACAACACTCAGAAATGCTTCTGCTTTGGTGGCTTCCTTGTCTTCTCCGTTCCCCTACTGACTTGTTTGTCCTGACTTGGAGCAAAAAGGAAATGAGGAGAAAATATCAAGTGAGCAAGAGTCCAAGAAGCAGAGCCTGCAGTGGGACCTGGAAAGGTGAAGGGCCTGAGGAAGTGAGTTCGTAAGGAACGCTTGGTACAAGGCTTCCAGCGATGAAAGATTGGACGGACATGTAATCCTCTTTCAATCAGTGCAGAGGGAATTCCAGAACAAACCTCAGATGCGGTATATGCTTCTTTAGAGAGTTCTGTCGTGTGAGCCTTCACCACTGGAAGTGACACACATCTGGTCCTAAGCCTGAAACTGTGTGCGTCGCCCCTGAGTCGTCGTCACCTCGGAGGCGAGCTTGGAGGACTTGAGGTTTTTTAAAACACTTTGACAGCTAATTTTTTCTGGCTATTGTGAAGTCTTGTTATTTTGACAGATGCATGTTTTTAAATGGATGCGACACACATTTGAAGATAGAAATGTTTGGAGTTTTGTTTAAATTTAAATCATGAAGAAAAGAGTTCCAGAGCATTGTGGAGCTTAGCTAGCGCCGGTTTCTGAAAGCAACTATCATGCCGTGTTTTATCTGGTCCTTCTCACACAGTGCTCAACAATAGACACACGAGTTGCAAGTGCAGATGTAAATGGAAATCTCCTAGTGTGCCCCATTAGGAAAAGTAAAAATAGGTCAATTAATTTTTATAATTTATTCAACATTATATATACAGGTTACTTTATGTCATCAGTGGAAAAGAATATTGAAATAGCTTTCATCTTTTTCTTGAACCAAGTCTTCAAAATCCAGCATGTATTTATGACACACTGCAATCTGAATGAAGTATGCTGGACAGGATCTAATTAAGGATATTGGACAGCAAAGCCTTCTCATTAAAAACTACACCTGTCTCGCTGAACAGCTGAACATTTCAAAACAACGGTTTAATCCATTATTTTGTTTTGCAGTTTCATTTAAATGTTAATTTACAAAGCATTAAACTCATCAAATTAAGTATTCCATCTTGAATTCAGTGAAGGTCCAACTTCCCAAAGGGGTGAAAAAACAAAAGTATGGGGAGTCAGTGCAATCTGTAGTGATGTTATAAAGTTAACTTCTGTGTGGCACCCATAAAGTAATCATGAGTGGGAAATAAAAATTAAGTATCTTATTACTAAACCAGATGTGTTAAGGTTTTTAAAACCATATGGAGGGTCAACGTGCCCGGCAAGTATCTTAACTAGGATCTCAGCCATGTTCACACCTGACAGCATTCTTACTCCGAAGTAGAAATATTCACGATTCTATGGTGATGAGCTGGTTTTCAGTTCAACAGTTGAGCACCGTGTTCTATACAGATTCACACAAACTGATTGGACATCAAGGTGAGCTAGGTAAAGAGTCACAGAAAGTTATCTGTCACAGATCACATTTTTTTAAAAGTGACTTTTTTAGTTAGCTGTCATTATTTATTGTCCTTAAAAGGCAGAGATGACCATTAAAACCAAAGCATGGGCATCATGTTGCACAAAGCTGGTACCACATCCATGCACTTTGTAATTATCAGTGTTTGCTTTTCTCGGATGATCAAAGGAAAAGGGGAAAAGAATCTTTCAATGAGAAGAGAGTATGATATTTGTAGTGATTGACACTGGGTCCAATTAGTCCCACCCTTAGAAATAAAGACATAGTAAACAATGTCAATTGTGTGTGTGATTGACATGTATATTCATGTACATATACAAGAGAAATGTTAAGATATCCAGTCAGGAATCAGAAGCTTAAAAACTCTTCTTTCCTAAAACTTGTGGGAGGGACAAGCATTAAGTATTTAGGGAGAATATTATGAACATGATTAAACTGGACGAGACCTCCGGGGCAAATAAGGATTCGCAAGACATAAAGACATAAAAACTTTGTATTAAGTAACTGAATAATTTCCATTTTAAAGATTGAAGATAAAAATGAACAACAAAGAATGAATGGGTTAATCATAACTTCGGACAATATTTAGTTTTCCTATTTCTCCTCTAGTTTATTTTGGTAGGTACACAACTAATCCCAGCATTCGGGAGGTTTGTTATCCTTTGCTATATAGAGTCCCAAATAGAGGCCAGCCTAGGGTATGAGACCTTTTCCCAAAAACAAAATATAACAACAAGCTTTAAAATTACACAAATAAAGCCAGTATTGAGACCATCTTTGCACATCTGAGTGGTAACGGGGTTTTCACTTAATAACAACAAAAACATTTGGCTTTGGTGACCTGACTTAGAGCTCATGGAGAGACCTGCTTTCCAGAATGACACCATCGTGAGGTGTGTTTACCTGCTCTCATGTACAAAATAAATGAGCTGAAACCTAAAACTGGATTGCTGAGCTAGGTTAAAATCGGATTTTTACAAACACAAAGTGAAGCTGGGGTATTATAAGTGGTATAAACCACAGACATTGAAAATGTTTCTGTCAAGAGTTGACATTTCCATTTGTTACAATTAAATATTCAATTGAGAAGGAATTAAAACACTTAAAAGTGGAGCTCAGAGTTGGGAACGATGGATCACTGGTTAGGGCACTCTCTGCTCTGATAGCCGGTCCAGGTGAGTTCCCAAGTACCCACACAACAGTTCACAAACCATACTTGCTCCAGGGTGCCAAACATCTTCTTCTGGGCTCTGAAGGTACCCTCCCCCTGACCACAAGGACAGATACACACATAATTACAAAGAACAAATCTAAAGTGATAACTCCCCCAAGCAGGAGTTAAATATAAAATAACAAAACCCTACAAAAATAAAGAAAATGATAACTTTGAGTCCCAATAACCCAGAATACTGCACGGCAGAGTCTTTCTCAGAATATCCCAGGATCAAAACCCCACTCAGAGCTGCCACTACAAGTAATGTTGTCTACAAGAACCCTTGTACTTAAGCTTTTCCTCTGTGGAAAGGACCTTGGGTACCCTTTAAACACTTATTCTTCTGCTGAAATGAGGTCATTGCCACATTGACATTATGAAAATCACAATGGTCGGGGTGGGAAGTAGCAAGGTCATTTACGCCACCTGTCAGATATAGCTTACCTGGCCTTGCCAATGAAAATGTTGGGGCAATATTAAGTGGGGAACCTAAAGCTTACCACTGTAATTGTTACAGTCCTGTCCTTCCATCAGCTCAATGGTGCTATTTCACACAACGATACAATGAAAGGAAGTGTTGTCATTTGGGGCTGCAGCCGCAAGTCTCCCACACCTGAAGAAACCCACGCTGAAACCAGAGATAACGCTCAAAGGAGGAAGTATTTTAACTGTGCAATTTTTGAGACTGGGCATTTGTACTTCTTTAGTTTTATCTAATTGTCTTTCATTAACGATTTACTGTTTGTGAGTAATGTGTGCTTACGACAAACTAAGGGAACTGTCTGTGAACTTTGCATATTAAACAAATGCTCCGAATCTTGGCTATAGCTCCTCTACTTCCTGCCTGTGTAATGGGATTCCTAGAGTTGTATTGAGAGCATTCCAAACCCTTGAATTCTTAAGATTTCATAATGGTCTGAGTCTTTAAATAGAATTTGAACATACCTATGTCAAATCTATAGTTATTAATCTCGTGTTATTACTGGCAACTTGGGGGCCCCAGTTAGGATGTCACGTTACTGAGAAAACTGTGGAGCCCTTTAGGGGCACTTAGTCTTATCAATAAAATAACAGAGAACAGACAGAGGGAAGCTCCAAACAATTTTATTAGACTTTAATCAACAACAGGGTGGACAAAATGGAAATCGCAACAGCTACCGGAAGGGAGGACGAGACATTGCAGATGCAATCTGAGTAAAGATAGCATGTTTAACAACAGCTGTTAGCTACATTTTGAACAAGCAGTCACTCAGACATGACGAAGGCTCCAGAGTAAAAGTGAGAGCCCAAAGGGTAAGGGAAAGCATGCCCAAGGTCAGGACCGTTCTGGAGGAAGACAGAAAAGAAAGAAATCACAGCTTTTTCTGAGAGGTGTGCAAACTAACAGAGCTTCATGGCAGCTCAATATTAACTGTACCTGGGCATGGCTTCCTAGCAAAGAAAAGTACATTATCTCATTAAAGAGATAATTATTCCTCCTCTCTTTCGCATGAACTAAAGTGAACTGGCCTTCCTAAGGGGTAGCCCCTTAGCCAGGTGATGGACCAGCACAATCAGACTAACTCTGATGTTTTGGGTAGCGTGGATTATTAGGTCTCCAAACAGGCCTGGAGTAGACAGCATTCTTTTGACAAAGAAATACCAGCCTTCAAAATAGATAAGAATAAATATACATTAGCCAAAGGAAATAATACATAAACTTCCAAAACCCATTATGAAAGCGTCTGAGGAGTAATACATTATGAACAAGACTGCATCTCACAGCACACAGCTGCTCAGTTCCCATGGTGCTCGGCTGTCAGACTGGACAGCAACAGCTCCTCACTGAGCAGCCTGGGGCTGTTTGCACAGACTTATGGCTGCTAAAGCCCAAGTTTCTAGCTCCATCAAAGAAAAGGGCTTCAGGACAAGTCAACACAGTTGGCCTCATTAAAAAGCAAATGGTGCTTCCTGACAGAGCAGGGCACACCCACCCAAGAGTATGGTGTCTGCTTTCCTGGGGTCACCTCAGTGTGTTAAAATGAGCATGTCTACATACGCACACTCGTATTCCTGCAGCTTCCCCAGTGACACTATCTACATAGTTACTTAATATATATAATGCTTAAGGAGTAGACTAATAGGAAGAGAGTTCTGTCTTGTGGAATTACACGAGAGATTTACCACATGATTCAGGTCTCAGGGAAAACAATATGGAGTATGGTCTGCTTGCCTGTAAGATGAAAATGATACTACATCCATTACAGCAAATACAGCAGGGCTTTTTAACAGAGATCCAACAGTTGAACATTCAGCAAACTAGTGTTTATGCATTTAGAAACGCTGAAAAAGTAATGAAATAATAATCTTAAAGTTAAGAAAAGGACTTACTGGAAACTGTAAAACCACCAAGCAGAACTGCTAGTACCACAACTTACGAATGTGCACAGAGCCACAACCTTTTGACTGGTGTTCTGTAACAGCGACCTGCTGCCTGGAACAGGCACAAAAGAGCCATCTGTGTCACTCAGCTGTTCTCTGAAAGATCGATTAGTTACTTTTGTGCTCTGTGATCTAAATTCCTAGCAGGAAAACAATTAAGGAAAAGTGTACTGTGACTCAGTTCCAGGACTTCAGTTTGCCACGGCTTAAGGACACAACTTGTCCCATGGTGGGAAACTGAACTGGACCCATGTAGTAAGGAGAGGGCCACCTGTTGGTTCCCGGCCACTTAGCTCCAAAATAATCACACAGAAACTGTATTAATTAAATCACCACTTGGCCCATTAGCTCTAGCTTCTTATTGGCTAACCCTTACATCTTAATTCAATCATTTTCTATTAATCTGAGTATCGCCACGTGGCTGTGAATTACTGGCTAAAGTTCACAGTATCTGTCTCCGGTGGCTCCATGACTTCTGACTCCAACCCTTCTTTCTCCAGCATACAGCCCAGCTTTCCCAGCCTAGTTCTGTTCTTCCCTGCCATAGGCTCAAAGCAGTTCTTTATTTATTAACCAATAAAGCAACATAGAAGGACCTCCCATACCAAACCCAGGCAGGTTATAGCCTCCAAAGAGCTGCCCCTCCCTATGGACACCCAAGCCCCATCTCATAAATACTCCACAACCGTGAGAACAGCCCCAGAAGGTGCAGTCTGCATGTCCCAAGCGTGAGCTTGTGGGGAACATAAAGAATTCAAACCACAACATTCTGACTTTGGCCTCAAGTCTCTGGGTATCCCAAAATGCATTTAGTTAAACACCATTGTCATCTAAAGTCTCCATGGACCTTGAATAGTTCCAACATTTTTCAAAAGTCCAAATTGTCTTCTGAGAACCAATCCAAATTTGGAGTGGTTCTCTAGAAAATCACAGAACAAGTTACCTCCAATGCACAATGGCACACAGTAAAAATGCCACCCAAGAACAAAGCCCATCAGTGCAATCCTGTGCTGTGTCCGGCCGAGGGCAGCTGGTGGCAGTGGGGTTGAGAACACTGACCCTTCAGACTCTCACACACGGACCACTGAGCCAGACTGATCACTCTGTTCCTGTCTACTGTCTCTACACCCTCCCATTCCCCAGCACTGACACTAGAAACCTGCCACACAGCCCTGCTAAGGAAAGAGACTCAGGCCCTCTATAGCACTTCACTGACCAAGCTGTCTTCTTAACCCCATTTTTCCAATTTTCCCTTCAGCAAAATTCAGGTTAAATGGCCTTTGAAGGTCAATGCTGTTTTGGATGTAGATTAACATATCCCATTTATGTGCCAGAAAACTGTCTCCCCCGCTCCCCACCAGAACGGTGATGTTCAGAGCTGGCAGGACTTCAGGAGGTAGGGCTGGCTCATCTCCCTGCCGCACACCCTGTCTCGCTTTCTATCAATGACGCTGTGGCTATGACGTGATGCAGACAGAGAAGCTTCTCCACAACTACACTGTTACTATTTAGTCTCATCTGCGTTCTCAATCCCAAGTATTTAGCTATAATGAAAAGTAGATTAACATAATCTCTGTATTTTAAAAGCAATTTAAAAAAAACTTTTATTCCTAAAAATCATAAACCTATTTTGAAACTGCAAATAACTTATTTGAGAATGAGTTAAGCAGCAAATACATATAAATAATCACTAAAAATTTATTTGTGCACACACACACATGCTATGGTGTGCATGCGGATTTAGAAGAAAACTTACAGCACCTGTTCTTTCAACCATGGATTCTGGGACTCAAACTCTGGCAGTCAGGCTTGGCAGCATGGCCCCTGCTGAGCCATCTCAGCAGTCCCACCCCCATGATTATGCAGCATAACCAATGAGCAGGATGGGAGGATCTCAAGGGATTTCACAAAGAGCAGGCAGGCACCGGGATCATTTCTTCATCCGACTCACTTGCTTCACTTGTTGGTTCCAATTTCCCATCTTCAGAGTCTCCAGGGTCCCCAGTTAGATCTAATTCCCCTAAATCTTTGTCTATATTTAAAATGGGTTTCTGTTTGCGCTTCTTAGGAACTGCATCATTAGCACAAAGTTTCCTCATTTTGATGTTTGGCAATTTCTTCAGATCAAAATCCCATTCCCTAGGAAAAGGAAAAAAAAAAAGAGTATAGCATTGAGGGCAGTGATAGCACAGCAGGGCAGCCAGGTTCGGAACTCTGCCTGCAGAAGGAGGAACTCACATCCATGGATTTCACATGTGTGTGAAATAGCACTAAGCTGGGGGGTGGGGCAACAGCCCAGGCCCAGGACTTGCTACTACTGCTGTGCTGGTGCTGCCTGCACAGAACCCTACACTCTAAACTTCACATATGCACACACACATCGTAGGCTCTGAGCTTCCCTTCTTCTCCCTACCCTAAAAAGTCTCAAGACCCTCAGCAGTTAGAATTACGTCAGTGAAGGTAGCTTCTCTCGCTCTGCAGCTGGCCCGCCTGCAGAGAAGCCTAGGAATGCTAACACACTAAGCTCATCTCCTCTCCCTGGCTGTGGAAGAGGCACAATACACTGCCTCAGAAACACAGAGCACAGTGGATTTAAATTTATCTAATTTCAATTCTAAAAAATTCACTCCCTAACATGTTTGTTTGTTTGTTTTTTGAGTATGGAGTTTATTTGAGATAAAGGGAATGGGAAGGGAAGAAAGAAGAGAATGGAAGAGAGACACAGAGAGAGATAAGAAGAGACAGAAAAAGTCCTACCTGCCTCTTCAGAGGAACAGAAGGAAAAACGCTCCCTAACATGCTTTAGTAAAGACCACAATTACTAATAAAAAACATTTTCTAATAAGCAGAATCTGTGCTTGAGAAGCAGAAATCTGTTTTTCCAGCTCAGCAGTCTCCATGGTTACCAGGGCAGAATCAGAGAGCCATGGACTAAAGGTTCTCAGTGACAAGACTCTTGCCCTGGCGTCAGTTTTATTCCTCTGTTCTTGCTATTTAGCTTCAAGAAATAAAAATTTGCACTGGGAGAAGAGACATCTCTGCTGTCCTACTGTTCTGGGAAAGAGAAGGCGCGTCTCCAGCAGCAGCTGCACGCTCACTCGAGCACAGCTACAGGGGGAACGCCTACAGAACGCTCTCCACTTTGGTTTTTACTAACATCTACACCCGGGGGAGTTCATGCCTTATGTATTTCACATGAAACTTCAAAGGATCTCAAAAACTCACCGAAAAGTCTGCAGATTATTAGTGTCTAAAATATCTGGGATCTCTGAAAAAGAATATAATAGCCATTAGACATTTTCTTTCTAAATTGCTTGCTGTATTTTCACTTGTTATTGCACATACAACACAGTACCTGATGTTAACAAGACGAAAACCTTTGTAAATATATGTGTAAACGTGACTGTGTACAACATGGACGTGCAGGTGCCTGCAGAGTCCAGAGGCGTGGGAACCTTTAAAGCTGGAGGTGCAGGCACTTG